TTGACATCTGGCTCACTAAAATCATGCCAGACCACAGATGTTTTTGAACCAGAGAGTTCTGGACTAGAGAGGTTCGACCAGTATTTGCATTATGGTAGCCCGGAGGCACTCTGGCCCCCACTGTGCTAGGCATTGTACACACACACAGCAAGGGCCAGACCTTGCCTCCAAGTAACAAATGTAAATGCACAAAACAGACAAAGGATTGGAGAAATGAAATACTATTGGCCTCATCTATCATACTGCCAGGGGACCTGAGGCATGAAGAGTCGAAGGGCCTTGCTCCAGATCTGACAGGATGCCTGCTTAGGAACTAGCAAGCTGGTTTCCTGGCTCCCACTCCAGTGCCATAACCCAGCTGTCCACTGGGAAACAGGGTTGCCAGGTGGTTTAACAAAAAATACCGACCCCCCCCCAAAATGGGAAAAAATTCTGTTGAGAAAAAAATAGGGGGGAGATCAGAGTTGTTAAGCAAAAAAAAAAAAAAAAAAAAAAAGGTGGGGGGGAGGGGCACTGAGCCTGGGATTTGCAATTTCTTGGGAAGCAGACTTCGGGTGCATTTGTGGCCTAGTTGAAGTCAATGGTAGCTACTGATGCCAACGGGCCAAGATTTCACCCTTAATCTTTTAGCTTTTACTCCTAACTCAAAATTATTCAGTGAATGGTCCATGATCATATTCTTCACCCCACGTATTGCGCAAACGGCTTGCAGTAGCTAGTGCCTCTGGGATTTTCCTACATAATTAGCAACATGTAGGGTGCGTGTAAGTGGGCACATAGTGTGATTTCTGCACCAGCTAGATGACTCCCATACCCCCACAGGGCTTTCCGAATGACTGTGTGAACACTCGACAGTGAACGGTTCTGCCAACACCCTGTTCTGCTGAGGTTTCATAATACTTTCTCTTTCTGCTAACATCTCTGCAAACAGAAAGGTGCCCCAATCAGCATTGTTAAAGCTGCAATTTTATCATGCGCTCTATAATATTTAGTGTTTTTTTACAGCTCCAGCTCCTGTAGTCAGGTCATTGGGGAAAATACCAGCTTTCAAGGAAGTTTCACGGTGACAGAGGAAAACTTGCAAATGTGACCCAGCTGACAAAAGAAAAGAAAAGAAAAGAAAAGAAAAGAAAAGAAAAGAAAAGAAAAGAAAAGAACTCCTCAGCCACATCACAAACAAACAGAACACAAATAAAAGGAACCCATTTTATAAATTAAACAAATCTCATGATTTTTAAGTCAATCTCATGATTTGGCCAGGGCACGACTCATGGTTTGGGAAGGCTTGGGGTGGGCAGTGCTGTGTACGATCAGTTACTGAAAGGGATGAGCCACAGTTTGCAAAAATAGGTTTCTAAACTCATATGCAGGCCTCCAAATAAGTGGTCTGGTTTTTTGAAGGGCTGAGCCTAAGCATTCCCATTGATTTCAACGCTGCTGCTTGCTTTGCCTCATCCAGAATTCAGTGTACCTTCTGCTTCCCCTGTTATTCCAGCAAAGTCTGGCTTTTTGGACTGTCAGGGCAAGCAGCAAGGGCTGTCTGTTTGCTCAGGCTTTTCCTGAGTGGCCAGCGCGAGTTTCTCACGAAGACTGGGGACTCCTTCTTCCAAGCTGATTTTTGTCTGTTATTGTTGCTGTGTTCCAGGGGAGGGATTCATTGCAAATTCAGTTTGCGTCCGGCACATGCTTTTTACAAAGCATAATGATGATTCAATAAAGTCTTCTCAGGAAAGCAGAGAATGGTCCACAGCCTAGGGAGACGAAAAGAGACAGAGCCACATCCATAGCTGCTGTAGGTTGCTGTCTCCCCGTCGATTTAGTGGAGCGCTGCTGAGTTTCCCCAGCTGGGGACCTGCATTTGGAATACAGTTCACAATTTGCAAACCTAGCAGGTGGCTGGCAGGATGAGAATAGGCGCAAGGAAATCCTTAAGCGGTAGCTGTGATATGCAGCTGTCTCATGGGAAGCAGTGGGCAGATTAGCTTTCCAAAACGCATCCAAGCCCTGCGTGCAACCTGGGTGTGTATCTAAACCCTGCAAGCCGGCCCCTAACCACACCCTGGTGTGAGCTCATTTCCACCCCGCCTGCGTGCACACACTGGTCTGTTCTGAATCCGGATATAACTAATTTCCTGGAAATGACCAGCAAACGGCCTCCCATTCAGATTACAACCCATTCAGTATGAACCTGTCTGAAGAGGACATGGAGCAGTGGCAGTGGTCACATGGACAGTGCTGGAGGCATGACAAAGTTGGGATTGTATGCGCTCTGTTCGCTTTGTTATGCTGCATGTGATTTCTGCTGTCCTGTGGTAATCCTGTGCCTGTGCCTCAGTTTCCCTGGACACCACACCACTATATAGGTGGGGCTGAGAATTCCGGGTGTGACTCACTGAGGGTATGTCTAAACTACATGGCTCCGTCAACGGAGCCATGTAGATTTGTTTGTTCGGCAAAGGGAAATGAAGCCGCGATTTAAATAATCGCAGCTTCATTTAAATTTAAATGGCTGCCCCGCTCTGCTGATCAGCTGTTTGTCGGCAGATCGGGGCAGTCTGGACGCTCCCCTGCCGACATGAAATCCCTTTATCGACCTCCCCGGTAAACCTCATCCTACGAGGCATAATGGGGAGGTCGATAAAGGGCTTTCAGGTCGGCGCGGGAGTGTCCAGACTAGTGCGCTGAGCCGACAAACAGCTGATCAGCTGTTTGTTGGCTCAGTGCGGCAGCCATTTAAATTTAAATGAAGCCGCGATTATTTAAATCACGGCTTCATTTCCCTTTGTTGCTACATGGCTCCATTGATGGAGCCATGTAGTTTAGACACACCCTGAGGGAGGCTGCTCAGACCAGCATGCTCACAATGGCCCAGGCTCACTATAACCTGGGTGTGACCAAGTGACACTTTTTGCCCAGGAAGCTGGACAAAGACTGGGGGTGGAGCTGGCTACAGAGATGGGCTGCTAGGGTACGTGAGTGAGTCTTGGTTGGCTTAGGATACGGGGGGAGGGGGGGGATGCCTAGGGCCTGGCTCTGGGCCCCCCGCTCCCAAGATGGAAGCTTTGACAGCTTCTGGCTCCTGTGCTAACAAGTCTGTTCGACACTGTATCTCTGTGACCTAATAAACCTTCTGTTCTACCTGCCGGCCGAGAGACACATCTGGCTATGGATAGAGGTCGGGGTGGCCCATGGATGTAGTCAATCTCGGCAGCTGCCTAGGGTGCCGCGTTATGATGACGTCACGCCATTGAGGGCTATGGAGGCGGGGGCACCGATCGCGCATTCCGCCTAGGGCGCCAGTTGCCGGCAGCTCTCCTGATGGTAGTGCAGGGCACGGTGACTCCCCACAGCTTGAGAAATGTGGACACTAGTGTATCAGCGGCTGCTGTCATGGTTCAGACCCTTCTGCAGAGCCTGTGGGGACACCCTGACATCAGGCTTGCTACAAAACCAGGGCTCGCGGTGATACCAGCTCTGCCATAAGGAAATGAAACGCAGCTGCTGAGGAAGGGTGAAGAACACCTGGAAGAGGCGTCTGAGTCGCGCTTGGTTCCATTAGCCATGATCTATCAGGTGGCATGGTAGGATCAGAAACAAGGAGCTGCTACCACAACCGTTAGCTCTAGTTCGGTTTCGGTGGGTTTCCCAGGACAGGCACACTCTTTGAGTGGAAGAGTAACAACTTTGGAAGTGTGGGTGCTGTGGAATGCTTCTTTGCAGCCGGTCATCAGGTTGTCGGTGACGGCCGGAAGCTGGATACATAATCAGTCCACTTTAAACATCTTGTCAGACACGGATCCAAGTGGCACTTGGTTTGCAAGGAGGCCACACCACGGCCACTTGGAATTTGCTGGGATGCTCATGAGTGCAAGCAGAAAATTGCATACACAAAAGATTCTCTGTGCCCAGACAGTCATGTGTCTCTCTGGAAATGTAACCTCGAGATATCGCCCGGATCAGACTGGAAGCTGCCATGACTTGGAATCACAGCAAAGAGGAGGCATTTATTAACAAAAACAGCTATTCAACCCTAGACAAACAAATCCATTTCCACATAGACCAAGCAGGAACTGGCGCTTTCTTGTTTGCCAGGCTGTGCTGGATCTTCATATAGCACATAGAGACATCTAATGACTGAATCATGTGCTGCAAGCAAGGAGGGAATATAGTTTGGAAAGTACTGGTCTTATGCAATGTAGTCGGTTTGCTCCACTTACTAGACATTGCTGTTGCCGTAGACTCTGTCAAGTGCGGCCTGTAGGGAGCTCAGGGTAGAACACAAGAGAGTCTGCTCTAGCTTCAAGGCCTTCTCCAACTCTGATTCCTGTTGGCTGGAGGCTGGTCCCCCTGTTCACACTGGGTGTCATCTTTGAGTAATCCAGTGGAAGTCAAAGGGTTCCTCCCCAGATGAAGGTGCTCCCTGTAGGAACAGGCCGAGGAATTTGGTCCTGTCGTTCATTGCTGTTGGCAATGGTCTAGAACAGTTTCCGAAATGGTGCTCCGCGGAAGCCTGGGGTTCCGTGAAGTGGAGCTAAGGAACTGGGCCAGGCTGGGTCTGGGCACTGCTGAGGGAGTCCGCTCAGGGCGAATTGCTCAAAAACCAGGGCTCCTTATAGCCCCAGACTGGAGACCGCTCCCAAACAGGTCATAAACCAGTCATGCCGAGCGCTTCAGCTGCCGATCCAACCAGCAGGAAGCCTCACGAGCAAAACCCCTCAGACATCCCAGCTCTCCCTGTGCCACAATCAGCCCCGGGCCTAGCACAGGTGAGGGATTATAGAACCCAACCTCACCTACTCCGAACAGGTTCTTCCCGTCCCAAGAAGGTTCGTCTGGTACTAAGCAGCCACAGTTCCCAGTCAATTTACACTTTGGATCTTACCCACAAGATCACGCTGAGCCAATCCTCTAGAATCTAAAATCTAAAGGTTTATTGATAAGAAAAAGAAAAGGACGAGAGTAAGATTGTTAAGGAAAATACATTACATGCATCGACTCACCAAGTTCTCAATGCAGGCTCTTAGCAGTTTATAACATCTCTGCTATCTTAAAAGTGCCTGTTGTACATCCTATGTCAGGATGGGCCAACGATTTTTTCCAGCTCACTAGTCCTCGCAAGGCTGCATCTGGGATCAAGAGCAAAATTGAAGGTCAGATGGAGATTGCCACATTGCACTTATATACCTCTCCTGGCATCTTCCTGGCCAGAGCAGGTCGCATGGTCGAGTGACCGATCTGTTTCACATGCTGGCAGCCATTATGCCCTGGCTGGTTTGCAGGTATCCAGACGCATTCCTCAGGTGTGTATTGGCACCTGGGGATTCATTGTCCCTGGAGCTTTGCTAATTAGCATAGATACTGAATGAACGTTCCTGGCACATTGCTCTGCTTGAGACAGAATTTTCCAGCATCAACACAGAGTACATATTTATAACTCCACACACAGATATTACACAAGTCCATGAAGAGCATATATAGAATCCGTAGAACAGACGCTTTCAGCGACACCTCACTTGGCCCCCTTGGTACAGACTTTGGGGCAACACCCCCTCCCATGGGTGCAGCAGTGATCTGGCTTCTCCTTTTAAAATTCAGTAATGTGACATGGGGTTCCCCGGAAAAGTTCTACTCCCCGCCCCCTGCAGAGCCCGCAGGCAGCTCCCATTGGAGCTGTGCTGGCGGGGGTGGGCTTCTGGCAGCACGCGGCTTTGGCTGCTCCACCGCCCACTG